TTAAAATAAACCATCACAAATTTTACTAAATATTTCTACTACAAAGAATGCTGAAGTCATAAGAGACGATAACTATTTCCTGTCTCTTGAATTACCAGACAATGTATTCCTGCCATAGGAAGAGAGAAAATAGCCCAAACCTCAAAGTTGGAGATACAGGCCACACACAACTCCCCCTGTCGCCATCAGACAAGTGGTAGCACCCAGTGACATTGTCAGGGACCCAGTGGGCTTCTGAGACAGATTCAAAGGCACTGGGCCAAGGCAGCAGCATGAATTTCCACTCTCTGGGCAAACCTGTCTCCCTTTTTAAACAACAGCACTTCTTGTGCTAAAAACTCCCAAGTCAAATTCTGCTATTCAATCAGCAAGAGAAAAGGGACCAGCCTGGTACGGGTGAATGAAATCAAAGGTGACTGACCCGAGTGCTAGAATGACTTCCTCTTGACCACAGGTAAAACCCCTAAGAGCATCACCGGTTCTGAGAAGAGTCTCTTCCCCCTCCCCCATAACCCACCCACAAACATTCTTCACTCCTTGAGTATTAACCTCCTCACCCCACCTAGGACTTGGGAAATTACAGAATAGGAACACACAGGAAGGGAGAGAAAATTACTTCTCTTCCCTCTCCAACCTACAGCTGTAGAAGCTGTTCCAAGGGGAAGAAAGGGAAAAAGGTAGGAGTCCAAGCCTCCTGTGCCCTGGAAAGTCAATTGAGCTGCAGGGGCTGGTAAATCAAGGACCTGCTCCCAAGATGGAAAGAAGAGCCATCTAAGTTTGTGGTTTTCCAACCTCCTACACATTGTTCATTTTAACAACCACCAGAGAAGGCATCCCACATTAAGATCAGTGACTCAATTTCCAGCCCTGAAAAAAAAAAAAAACCTGCTGATATTTGATTCTGGACAAATATGGAAGGATTTTAACTTCCTTTCAATATTCGCAAAGCACAGGTTGGGGGTTGTGAACTGGGGCCCTAGCTGATCAATGGGAGCCCCAGCTTCCATCACTGGCTAATAAAAGAGGGGTCTCTGCCCCTTCCTTCATCATTTCAGGGCCTCACCAATAAATGTAACCACCTTCACACGGGTCCCCCTTATGGGATTCAGCACACACACCTGGCCCAAACAAAAGCTGTTTAGGCCCATGACTGAGGAAGCTACACAATTGGGGGGGGGGGGGGGGAGAGAAGGAAGATAGTAGCTTTCCACTGGGATGGCCCCTGGGTATGCTCACTGGCCAGCAAATAAATGTCTCGAATGCACTTTCGATTGACTCCTATTTCCAAGAAATGAGTAAGACCTGGCACCTAGTAGGTGGTTAATAAATGTTTGTTGATTGGCAGGTCAATGATAAAGTCCCACTGAAAGTTCTAACAAGCTGATACATTTACAACACATTGTTTCCTTCTCTTTTCCTCTCAGTGATTTAAAATCATTTTTAAATATATAAAACACCACAGGGAGGGAAGGAAATAAAGGTATAACACTCTAATAAAATAAGCCAACAAAAGACAAGTGGGTTTGGTTAGAGTGACAGCTTTGGAGTCCTCCCAGGAAGGAGCTGGAACTCGGGGTCACCCAGCACCCAGGGAGCTCGACTACGGGAGTCCAAGGGTTAGGGCTCCCCGGGGCTCACAAGGAATCTGTCTGCGATCAGGGTGCAGACTCACACCAAAATGGCTCACGCTGCCCCGGGGGCCAGAGGACAAGCTGGCAATCCTGCTGGGTGGGACCCTGCTGACGCTGCTCCCCAGCTTCAAACTATGGTGCCCAGACACAGTGAGAGGAAAAGCCTGCGGTGGGGGAGAGGAAAGGGGCGGGCAGAGAGAGAGACAGAAACATCAATATTCAGAGGAAACCAGGGCAGAGACGAGCAGGGCCTCGGCCTACAAGAACTGAGGACACCGAGGTAAAGCTGGGCAGAGATGAAGTGAGGTGGCTGTGGAACTGTGAGAGGGAAAATAATCAAAACTAGCATTTATTTACACAGTGCTTTTTTTTTTTTCTTTCCGGCTTTACCTATATAATCTCATTCACACAAATCCTGTGAAGTTAAATACCACAGGCATTAATCACTTTTTTTCCAGAAGAGGAAACTAAGCCTCAGAGAGGGTCCCGTAACTGGCCCAGGATCCAGACACCCGTGTAAGAATCTAATGTTAAAGCCAGCCTTCACCTCCTACAAAATGTGGTCTCTTCCCACTACATGGGGCTCTCCCTTCACCCACCTTCGAAGATCTCAACCCAGGGAAAAAGGCAAACTTATCCTGTGCAGGAGGAAGCCAGGGAGAAGCTGAGAGCCAAGAAAAGAGCTAGGAGGGGAGAAATACAAAGGCTGAGGAATCAGTAAATGAGATCAGACTTAGGAAAAGGTCCTCCACTAGTTTTTGAAACCCCTGAAAGGTCCCCTCGTGGGCCTACTCTGCTTACTCTATGCTGCCTTATATTGGAAAGTAAACTTCCCTGATGTGCCCCTTCAGAGTTATTATTCTCAAGTCTGACGTTACTGTCAGTGTCTTGAGAGCAGGTAGGAGCATGTTATTCGATACCTTACTACTAGCTCACAAACTAGCAAAAAACATCAGCACCCAGTAGGGTAAAACCCAAGTATGAGCTACATCAACCCCAACCTCCTGAAATATGTGGCTTTTACCAACTGAGTCCTGCTTGGGACCCAAACTCTGCACCACAGTCCTAGACCAAACCAACCGAAGTAAAAAAGAAACACCACAAACATACATACAAACCCACATTCAGACAAATATGCAAAAATCTCACACACCCTCTTCTCACAAAAAAGCCTCCTTTCTAGAAGCCGTGGGCTCGGTGACCTAAAAATTATTCCAGTGTTATTTGCTTCGGGCAGTAGTCTACCAGCACGAGAGCCTATTTGAATACATCCACAATTATCTGCAAACTACAACAACAGACTGCCCGGACTTGGGGATTGCTTGTGGCTTCTCAGGAGGGAGAAAGCCAAGGGGGAAAGGAAGCTTAAAAAGGGGACTAATTTCAACCCCTGACCACCTAAGCCTACAGAGAGGCAGGAAATGTTTACATGGAGCCATATGAACGCCCAACCAACTGCAGCCAACTCTATATCTGAAACTTATCCCATTCCAGAAAGGGACAATCAGTCTTGAGTTCAGCGAAACAGTCTTCCACAAAAACAGGTTTCCCACCTCAATTCCTGCACTCCCCCTCCCCAAGCTTCTACTGGGCACCCCATCTTCTCCCCAAATACAGGGCCACATACACACAGGTCAATCGAAACCTGCCACTGGGGTAAGTGCCTGATTAGCTAAGGATAGACAAACCATTAAAAACACATCCACCTCCAACTAGAAGAGATAATTTGCCTCATTACAGTGGCCCTCCTACAATGGTTCTGACAGTCAAACTGGAGGAACTCCCAGAGAAACTGGGGTGGAGAATCTATTCACAGATTTAGAAGAAAAAAAAAGTTTGATGCAATAGCTGAATTAATTAGGCCTCCCAAGAATAACTGAGCGCAAAGGCAGCATTTTCTATGTGCAATTTAATAAGCCTGGATCCTTAAAAGAAAAGTTACAAATACTTGAGGGTGGGGAGGGAGCGTGAAGGGTGCATTGAAAAGTTAATGAGAATCTCAGTGAATAGTCTAAGTGTCTAATGGGTCTCCAGATCTGCCACAACCCAAGACTCCTGCAGGATCACACAAATACTCTAACCCTCAGCAAACAACAGAGCTGTATTGTCTAAAAGGCTTTCAATATCACTCTTTTCTGTATTTCAGAGAGAAAGGGAGGGAGGGAATGAAATACTTTTAGTTCAAAACAAATGGCTGGCCCATCGGTTATTCAGACATTGTGATGGGACTCAGGAGCTCCTGGAGCCGATGGCTTTGGTGCCCACTGATTAGGACTGCTGCCAGGTGCCAAACAGATCTCTCTCCCCACACAGGGAGGGAATGCTGGGATCCACATACTGGCAGACAGGCCCAGCAGACTAACAGAGTCCATAACTGGAGTCAGGAGTCTGGAAGTCTGGCTTTGCCACTGACTCCCATGCAGCCTTGGACACAGCACCTGCCTTACGTACTGTTTCTCCACCTTTGAAAAGGAAGGATTAGCAGCAGAACCTAGTGAAAGAAACCCCCAAATTCACGAGTCTTAGCTATCTGGAGAGATATGGAAACTGCCCTTTCTCCTTACTACAAACATACGATCACTCACATAAAATCTCATATTTTAAAAATGTCTAAGGCTAAAAGTCAATCACTGCAGGCACCACTAACAATGAGTGTATACAGTCTCTCCACCTTACATACCTCCTTATTTGACGAGGGCTAATTGATTTTATTTTTTCAATGTTTGTCGTTGTGTGTTTTTAAAAATTCTATACGCCTATGGAGAGGTCCCCCCCCCAACTGTTTATCTTTGCAATTGCTAAGTAACCTGGGAAAGCATTTACATTTAATGCATTATGCATTTTACCCACACAAGGCTGTAGAATTTTTAACAAACTGACCACCAAAGGGGGGGAGGGGGAGGGGAAAGAAAATACTGGGAGTAGCTAAGGTGGCTTAGGAGGAAGGCCAGAGAAGAACTGAATTTCATATCCAAGACTGAGGATTGAATACTGAAATGAACCATACCCTTTCTAGACCTGCATGGGTCCTATCACTGGGGGGGGGGGGGGGGCGGGAGGACATAATCTTAAAAGTGACCTGAAATCAAACTAGGAACCGAGAGGCCCCAAACAACGAAGCAAGGGCCAAGTGACCTAACGGGGTTTTTAAACGTTCTGCGTGGGACTTTTCCCCGTTACCGGTCTGGAAGCATCACCGTATGGGCACCCAGTCACATTGGGACTAACCCTTTGCAAGCTTCTGGCTACACTATGCTCAGCACTAGGGAGTGTTCCCCAGCAGGTGGGGGGAGGAGGGAAAGGAAGCCCTTTAGCAGGACTTTGGCCGAGGCCTGGGAACGGAGGAGGTGACGACAATCAGACACTAACCCTGGGTGCTTTCCTCTTGTATTTGTTGCCATAGTCGAACTTTTCTTTCACGTCGTCCAGACACTGGCCCAGCCTGGCTTTCTCCTCTTTCCCAGTGTAATCCTGGCTGAGGAGGATGTAGGCCCTCCAGTTGGCCGAGTCGAAGCCCCAGTGGCAAGTCCTGTTCTCCAGGGCCTTGTGCGAGTGCACCACGAACTTGTGCGGGGGGTACATGAGGCGGCAGTCCAGGCACTGGATGCAGGCGGCGCTGGGGTTCACGTAGAGCTCGGGCACGAGCAGCCCCTTACACTTGCCGAAGCACTCGTGGTACACCCTGAAGCTCTTCTCGGTGAGCTCGAGCTCCAGGGCGCTGGCGAACTCCTTCTTGCAGTGCGGCGGGTAGGCGCCGCCGTAGAGCAGGGCGTTGCAGAGGCGCTCGGCGTCCGTCTTGGTGATGAGCCCGCACGAGGGCGCCGAGAAGGGCAGGATGCCCATGACTTTGAGGATCTCCAGCTGGTCGGCGGTGCAGCGCGAGCAGTAGATGTGCAGCTCGTCGCACACCGAGTTGATCTGCTGCAGCGTGAAGTCCCGCAGCACCGAGTTGAGGATCTGCGGCAGGCACAGGCGCTTCTCGCCGCCCACCACGAAGCACGAGATGGTCTCGCCCTCCAGGATGGTCTCGCAGCGCTCGGTGGAGCGGTCCGAGGGCATGAAGAAGGGGCCCGGCATGACGGGCGGCGGCGGCTGGATGGGGGGCAGGTGCAGCACGGGGGGCGGCGGCGGGGGCTGCTGCTGCTGCTGCTGCTGCTGCTGCTGCTGCAGCGGCTGCGGGGGCTGCGGCGGCTGCGGGGGCTGCTGCTGCTCCGCGCCCGGGGCCGCGGCGCCGGGCTCCTTGGCGCTCTCCTTCTTGTACATCTCCTGCGCCCAGCGCGCCGAGAAGGCGGCCGGGCCGCCCAATGAGCTCATGGAGCTCAGGTGGAACTGCTCCAGGGTCTTCTGCAGCCCCGGGTGCGGCTGGAAGCTGCTGCGGCCGGGGCCCACCGTCTCCATGGTGCGCTCCGGAGGCTCGGGGGCTCGCGCCCGCTCCCGCTCCCGGCCCAAGCCGCGGCCGCCCCCGCCGCC